GTGATCAGTCATCAGTTATCATTTTCATAAATTGTTCATTTTGTTCGTTGTTCATTGTTTATAGTTAATCAGTTTAAATTATTATTTGTTATACTGTAAATTTACTGTTGTAATAAAGCATATTTCCCACATATATATATATATATACTAAAAGGTTACATGACTAGATTACATTGTGTTCTATTACTTATTGAAGCGCCACAACCTGGCTGGACAGAGTACTAGCACAATAACATCATAGTTAATGCTCTAATTATAATCATTCTCTAAGGTGTCTCTCCATTTATCGACTAGCCAGTCTGATCTCTGCCACAGTGCGGGCCATCGGAGTGTAGGACACTAAATCTGTGCACATAATTTAATTATTCTTATTTTGAAAACTTGATCCATTGAAAAATTCATTACTAAACATGTGTAACTTGGCAAAAAGTGACAATCGATTATACTATAACATCACTTAGTGATAACATCCCCAGGTAATAAAGTCTCTAGAGGTATAAAAGATAATACTTTTTGGTCGGAGTGACAATATGTGTAACGGATTGATAATAGTAACATTTTTCCCAAAATACGTATCCACGATTTTTTAGTGATTTTGAGTCTTTCGAGTTAAATATTTTTAAGATTTTAATTAATATTTTAAATTTTAAATAATATTAACCAAAAGTGATTAATTCTTATAAGTTAATTAGTGTTGTACAATTTTCGGAAATTAAATAGAAAATAATTTCTTTACACATAAATCACAAAAATATATTATAAGTAAATAAATCAATGTGAATAGGAGGACCCTTAATACGAATACGACAATGGCGTCAAAATAAACAAATGATAAGATTAAAAAAATTAAAAACAAAACAATTACCATAGAGCCATACAGAAAAACGAGCTAAATGGAAGTAATTCTAATAAGAGTAAAACCTAAATCCAAACACCTTATAATCTCAAAGTTTTTGATTTACTACCTTATTCGATGCACATGATATAATTCCTTGACAACGCATTCAACAGATATGTATCCAATATACTTTGGCGTTGGAAGATGAAGTCTTTCGAAGTTCATTGAATCTAATAAGCCGTTTGTTCATATACAGAGGGTGATTTTTTAATCATAACCAATTCAATTACTTACAGAATAAAAATAATTAATACATTTATTTTTTTTTAATTATCTATAATTACACATTATTCTTAAATTATTAACTATTTAATACTTTTTAAGTTCATGCCTTATGGATTGTAAGGGTGTCAACTTTGTTTTTTAAATGGGGACACATATTTTGAATTTAATAAAATGTTTAAGTTTTTAATTTAATAGTAGCATTTGAATTTTTAATTAAACGTTATTCGTTTATTAGATAAAAACATATCAAATTTCAAAATTTTGAACTAATATACATGTATAATATACAAGGGATTACAAATACAGGTAGCTAATTGGTTTTTTATGACGTTGCTGTCACAGTCATGGAGTGTTTATTGTCAATTATGACTATCAATAGATATACTTTCTTCATTGCCAGTTAATGTATTTATCTACTAATAAACTCATAACAATGTGACTCACTATCATTGATAATAAATACTGCGTACCTGTGAATATCAACGTTATAAAAAAACATAACGACTGCCGGTCGTCCAATCACTGCTCGTGTGATTTTGCTTAATTTCCATTTTAGAAATTTCTATTTAAACATTTCTAGCTTCACACTGAAGTATAAATATTAGTTTTTGCTTACAAATATTGATTTAAGTTTACAAATAGAACTATATTGTAAAATATAAACTAACAATGAAAATATTTATCACAATTGAAACAAATTATCTCAATTTTATAAATGATGATTTGTAGTAATTATTTATGCGTGTATATATCCTAGATACATTATTTTTACAGAAAAATAAATTTGTTATAAATACTAAGAAAAAATTAGTGTTAAAACATTTTTTTACGATTGAAAAGTAAACATTTAAGAATTGTTATTTCTATAAATTAATAATGGTTTTGCTAACCAAATTTAAAGGGTTAATAATTTACTCGAATTACTAATTAGGTTTTGTGAACTTCTCCTATTTAAACCACTTTTGATCACCTGGGATAGAATTTATTTACACAATAACTAAAATAGTATTGTTTTTAGTAGACAATTAAGAGTAAAAATATCAAATATTACAAGTGCCAAAAAATGAAAACTCGTATTATTATTGATAAATATTCTATATACCTATAGCTTCAATTATGTACATATTTTAATAACTAAATAAAAATTATTTCTAAATAAAATATAATTTTCTTAAATAGGGCCCGTTCTAATGTTCATTATCAGATGATCTTAGAATCTTTTAAGCTGAAAAAAAACCCAGCACAGCAGCGTCACGTTTTTTATGATTTCTTAATTCATAAATGATTTATGAATCACAATCATAAAAAACACCACGATACAAATCTATATATAGTGTTTAACACAAAAAAAATTGGCTAATTATTCAAAAAGCTACATGATCTCCTATATCCTTATTTTTTTCCTGATTACAAGTTTTATGATTTATAAGTGTAATATATGATTAAATATATAAAGGGAAATTACATTATTTAAAAAATATATATATATCGAATGAAAGAAGTATATAAATATTATTTCTCATAAGAAAATAGTATGATCCATATATTTTTCAAAAAGTTATAGTATTATAAAAAAGAATATTTTTCCAAAAATTTTATTATTATATTAATTTTGATGTTAGTTTTCACCATGGACACCAACTAAAGTCAGAATTTTTTTTTTTCAATAATTAAGTGTATTACATAAGCTTTAATTTAATATATATATATATAAGTGTCAGTATTTCAGGAACACTTTCAAAAGTTAAGTTGAAAAAGTTAATTTTTCGTGAAAAAGTAGTCATTTTGGATCCCCCCCGTGGACAGGTTCAGGGTCAGATTTATGAAAAAAATATTTCAAATGATAGGTAAAGATATCATACATCTATAAAAAAAATTATATTGATTTGGTCATTTTTGAAAAATTCATGGCAGTTTTAAGTAAATAAATTTACGATTTTTAAATTTGTAATTTTTTTGAAGATTTCTCCCATTTACGAGGAACGAGGGAAATTTTTTGAGTTTTTGAGGGTAATGTCTTTGACTAGATACGTTTTATAATTTAAAAAATAAAAATAACACATCATAGTAAAATTAATACCTTCTCAGCTTCGCAATTGTTTAATTTAATGAAAAATAAATTTCTTACTTTAAACATTTATTACGCCATTTAGGAAGACATGGCGTTTAGAAATATCATTAAAAATGTTTTATTTTTAGGTATAATAAAATGACAAATATAATGATGAAACCTAATTATACTCTACATTATAACAATAATAATAATATATATTATTTTATATAATTTATATTGATTTTTTAATTATATCATTAGCAAAAAATAATATTTTTCCTTTCTCGGAGAAAGTTTTATTTTGTCCATTTTTGCAATTAAGACTTGTATTACGAATATTATCAATCGCTGCCTATTATATATTTTAATATCAACTAATTATTGTGGAATATCAGTAGTTAAATAGATACTAGGAAAAAATACATTACAAGCTCAATTAAATCACACTATTTTTATATTAAGTATTTATATACTTACAAAATATTTTAGAAAATAAAACAAGTTTTATGTCAACTATTTATATTAATATAATCAAACAATCTTCTTTTTTCATGCTTTAACATACATGGTCGATATAATCATTAATGTTTTATTAAGTCATAAAAAAAAATCAGAACAATAAATATATTTTTTACCACAGACTATATAATCTGTATTTTAACATCTTCAGGCATTGTTATAATAGGTATTTTTAAAGTCATAATAATTTCAACAATTTCATAATAAATATAATTATTAGTAAAATATAAATTTTTCGTTTTACATTTTTTGCTAAGAATTTTAAAATTGAATTAGTTTATCACTTACATTCAATTTCGGATATGTTAATATTTTGTTTAATAAATTTAATTTATTTTAATAAAATTAATTTACATAATTTTTTTGAAAAAAAAAATTAATTTCAATAAAATTATTTTTCATCCTTTTTCAGGTAAATATGACATAAGTATTAAACCAACATATTTTCTCTTAATTATCAAGTTATGGTCATGGTGTGAATCAAAGTTTAATATAAATGATAAAATAAAAAAAATTGTACATATTAAAATATGATGTTGAAAATATATACATGTTCGATTATTTATTAAAAATTTTAACATTTTGTAGTTTTAACTAGATAAGTAATACAAAAAAGAACAAATGAATTTTAATACAGTTGTACATATTTTTTTTGCGAACATAAATTAAAGTATTATTTGTATAAAATATAATGTAAGGGTATTAAGTTATAAATTATGCAAAATTCTCAATAACGAAGTTTTATTTGTTTAAGAGTGTATCCAAAGGGCAAAACTTTTATTATTGTTTATTACTTTTAGAATTATTTTTAGTAAAATATTTATACAAAAATATATAATAAAATGAATGTAAATACACAGATGTTTGCAGCAACGATGTAGAAGGATAATATTATTTTTTTAAGTTTGAAGAAACTTGAACATTTTTAATATCAATATGTTAAAAAAACTTAAACTTTCATAAATTTATTTGTTCAAATTGCGTTTAAAGGCAATGTCGTGATTAATATTAAATATTATATATAAGGAAGTTCCAATATCTTGTTTTATATTAATGTGCATTATTTAAAAGTAGTATTAGTTTTATAATGACAAATTAATTGATTAAAATGAATAAATTTAATTTAATGAAAAATCACAATTCAATGCTTATTTTATTATTTCAATGGTGTTATATGATAAACAAAACAATGAGCATCAGTAAAAATATATTGTCTTAAAACTAATTAATATTTATTTATATACTTACAAAAATGAAACTTTTTGTTTAAATTATTTATTCATAATAAATAATAAAGTTATTATGGAATATAATTCAAAAGTCTTTAATATAAACATAATATATATATTTTCCTTATTTATAAAATTAATTAATGATAAATTTCACTAGTGTTACAGTTAAGTTTATAATTTAAGACTAGTCAATAAAAAAAACCCTTTAATAGTCTCAATAAAAATATTAGTGTAATAATTTTAAAAGAATCTGATGAGCGTTATAATCTTAATAGTTTTGGATTAAGACTAAATATCAAAAATTATCGGTAGTCACTTTCATTTTTACACATTGATAAAATACATTAATATTAAACTTCTTTTATCATTTCAACGTAGATAATTTTTATTTTATAATACTTATAAAACAGTTTTTAATTAATTTAAAACCAAATTTGTAGTTGTGGGTCTTAAAATGATTACTAAGTGATACTCTTTTTAAAACTCACTATTTGTGGACATATTTGTAAAAAAAAGATAACTCCTACAAATAATGATTTTAGATTTTGATGACATTCTATAGAAATTAATCATACTTTAAGTTTCTGAGTCTAAATAAATTAATACACAATTTTATTTATAACTAAATATTATTCACCGAATTATTTCCAAATTATTTTATGTTTATTTATTAATTATATCACTTCATTAAAACCTATTTTTGCTATTATTGGTTTTTTTTTAATTAATTTTTTTTTTAATTCAGAATTTGAATTTATTTGGGTATTTTAATGGTATTGGATTTTATATTAATTTAAATTTCTGATTCATAATATAAGTTTGAATACAGGAAATACGTTTATTTCACTATAATTAATAAATCAGTTGCGAATTCTTTCAATTAGTAACTGAAGGATTGAACGTATAAAATTGCTAGATAACATTTTATGAAACATTTGTGTTTTTTCATAAATTTTATCTTTCAGTAAGTTACTAAACATATCTTAAAAATGTTTTCTAACATGGAGAAATTTTAAAAGTATTACTTAATAAAATAATTATGGGATATTATTCGGAAAAGGGGCTTTTCTAAATAGTTTTGTAAATATTAATTATATCATATATTTCTTCAATTATTTAGAATTAGTAAAAATAATTAAAAAAATTTACTATAACATTTTTATAAATTTGAAAATTTTTTTTATCACTAACCAAATAATGTTTTTCTTTAGTTATTTATTTTAGGTAATATTTAATAATATCTGTTCCACGAGACAAAGTCATGATGACAGTAAACTATTGAGTCAAGCATACTAACTATAACCAATATTTAATCTATGTACGTATGGAAGCCCTTTGATGTTGGCCATTAAAATTTCAATAGTTATAGTAGTTATAATGTTCACAATAAAATTTTAAAACTGTAATTTAATTAAAAGTCAACCTCTATCGGAAAAATGTATATAATCGAAGAAGAATTTAAAAAAATTTGTTTAATGTTTTATTATATTTATCGTAACGTAAATGTAAATGGTAGAGTTGGTTTCACAAAAATTCCAAAAAAAGTATTATAGTAACAAATGATACATTTTTTTATTGCATTTTATAAAACTATCATTTTTTAATTATTAACCAAAAAAATTAGTATTTAAATATCTAGCCAAAGTTATATGAAGATTTTTCCTTTACCATCAAATTAAATTGGAAGGTATAAATTCTACTGTTTATAAAAAAAACTATAACACGATGAAGGATATTCAGTAAGTACGGAAACTGGTTTCTTTTGTTCTCAATGGTTGCAAAAATTGAACTATTTTCATACTTTTTGAACATTGTGTACATGACGACAGTTTACAACAATATGAATATTTAAATATTCCAAAAAAATATTTAAATGTAAAAATAACAATAACAAGTATAATTAATGTATATGATTTTATGATATCTAATTAAAATCAGGGATTATAATAAAAAATCATATTTTAATAATGATTCAATTTTATGTAAACTAAAATAATTTACTTATTGTCTTCATTTTGAATTGGATGTCTTAAATTTGAATGTTGTCAAACTATACGTTTTGGTTAAATTAGATTTAGTAGTCTAAATGCAAATAATTTTATACCATAATATTTTAATTATTTTTAGGAATTATTGGTTATTTACAATTTGTGAACGAATATTAAAAACTTTACTCAGCTGTTTTAATTTTATTTTTAGTGACGATATGTAAAACAGACAATTGTTTCAATTTCAAGTAAAATAAATAAAATAATATCTGATAGAAATCATAAATAAAAATGCCATTTTTTCAAAATGATAATGTTGTAATTCGAAGTAATTAAGTGATATTGTTTGACTTTTGACGTTTAGCTAACATTACAATCGTCTACTGCTCCGCTGTCCCTAATCTGTTGTTTGGTCTTGCGGCTACATCGTCTGATAAGACTGCGGCTTCGAGGTTTTGGGCGGTCTTGGTCGTTCTTCGATTGATCTACTGTGTGGTTTCCTCGACCAGTTGGTGATGCAGGTGATTTAGCAACGGAAGTCGCTGCAGTTACCGAAAGTGCCACTGGACTCTCAGCGCGTCTCGACGCTTTAGTGTGGCTCACATAAGCACTGGATCTACGTTTCAGCGGACATGTTGAAAAATCTTCTGTTCCATTAAGAAACCTCGACAGTCCTAAAAAACATTTAAAAACCTCTCGGACGTTTACGTTGTCCTTTGCTGAACATTCTACTAGTTTGACCCTAAAAAAAAAAATTATAAATATTATTTCAGATAATTATCTAAGTATAAATGGACAGCTGATGTGATCGTTGGTGATGTGGGAGGTGTCAAGTGGAAGTTTAGGATAAGGGTAGCCTACCCCATGTAATTGGGATTAAGGCGAGGAAGAAGAAGATCGAAATATAAATGGACGTTTTTTATGAGAACGTGATCAAAAATGGTAACTCTTTATATAACATAAACATTTTTACCTGATTTTAAATATGATTTATCAAATTCACATAGCAGTACAATAATAACTAATAATTCATTTATGATGATAGAAAAGATACTGCTGAGTGTAGCTGATTTTTAGTAAAATTGATAATAATAGAGTTCGTCAACGATATCGATATCGATATCGCAGCCATTTTTATTTTTTCCACGATATCGATTATTTTTGAAACATCGCAATAATCGAAAAATGTTTAATGAAAAAAACTCTTTGAATTTTGGTCACTTTATTTAAAAAATATATTATTTAAGCAGTTCGTAATAATCTTGTTAATATTTATTGTATTAAAATATATTATAAAATATAGAGTTGAGATAAGACGAAAAATGATATTTATTGATACAAAATTATATTTTTAGATTAAGTTTTTTTATATGACATATTTGTTATTCCTTTTTTTAACAAAACATGAACATAGTAATTATATGAGCTAAATTAGAGAAAGAAATTTTAGAATTAGAAGATATACAGCAACAACTGGTTAAAACTCTATCTGAAAAGTAAAATGAAATTAATTAAAAAAAAAAAAATCCCTTTTAAATAAGAAAAGAAGATGATGCTGCTTTATTATGTACAAATTTTAAGTTCATTAGTTTATTTTATTATTAAATTTTATTTTTATAAAGAAGAAAAATTACTTTCAGTTATGATAAAGCGAAGAAAAAATATGAATCATACTTATAATCTCTTCTTTTATTAACCAAAATACTGAAACTATAATACTATTATTCAATAAAGAACAATTTCATTCATTTAATATAATGATATAATTATATAATGATAAAGTCTTGTAGCAAAAAAACTTATTTCTTCATAATAAAAAGTAATTTAAAAATAATTAATTATTTTTATGAGATATGGCTATTATCTATTTTTTTTTATTAATATTATTAATATATTATATCTGATTTATTTGGTAACTATAGTTTGGTTTTACAACGATGGTAACATAACGGAATTCTTGAATATAAATAAATGGTGTGAAAATTTAAATATTAAATTTAATTTTTGAATATATTTATATAATATGAATAGGAATATATTCAATGGTAGGTTAATTTTTTTTTTCGATTTATTTTTTCATATGATATCGATATATTGAGAACAATTTCTTTTCTATATTGCAATATAATATCGCTAAAATTCAGTACGATATCAATATCCAAACATATATAGCGTTGATGAACCTTAATAAATAACCATAAAATGACAAATATTGACATAACCACATTTTCATAAATACATAAAATATATATAGAATTAGTAAGTAGATTTGGAAATATGAATAAATTTTAAATTAGGTAATTATTTTTAAATTTCTGATTTTTTTTTTTGTATTCACAAGTTTGCCTCGAAATATTATTTTTTATATCATCAAACTTAATCTGAAAAATGTTCCAATTTTAAGATGAATAAATGCTCACTTTTTAAAGTTGTTATAACGCTATATTAATTTAAATGAAAAATAAATGGTGATTGGGTTATCTCTCTTTTATAACTTCTCCCTACTTTCTTAAAATGAAAAACCTATTTATATTATATATTTACTATTCTTATTAAATGTGAAGGGTATTGGGCACGACAGTATCCCCTATCAAGAATGGAAGTCATAGTTTAAACCTTATAAATATAATAAATTACTACTTACTAAATGTAGTCATAGTATATCACAAAAAAAAAAAGTATTACAATAAGAGTTATGTAATGTTCATACATGGACATCATTGATTTCAATTTTATTTTGGTTGTGTAGTTAAAATTATAAGATATTAAAGTAATTAGGTTATTAGATCACGATTTACTTATTTTTGTATATTTTTAAATAAAAATTATTTAATAAAAATTATTTTAAATTAAAATTTGTAGCATTTAATTACATTATCTGTATTCACTTACAGTATCTGTTGGGCATATATAATATAAATGTTTATTAACACCTATATAATATATTTACAATGTATTCCTCCCACTCTTATAAGTTATATAATGTTCTTCTCTCTTTCTAAAATAAGTATTAACCACAGTAAGATAATACGATACCGCGAAATACAAGATTCTTTCTTCAGCTTCATTCTTCCCACTAAAACATACCCTCCGTGTACTCTTTCATATCCTCTCATTACCTACATGTCCATTCATATCTACACCTAGCACCGCATCTTCATTGCCAGGAAAATGAATAGTTAAGATATAAAAAAAAGAATGGAGAGCAGCTTGCAACGAAGAGACTCCAAACTTATATACTGGTAAAATTTACATTAATTAATATGTATAAAATCATCTACAGGGTAATAATTGTTACATAATGTTCATTAACATAAAGATTAAAAAATCTTTTTAATTTCATAATAATGGTAAGGTACCGATTATTTGGTAAAGTGTATGTGTAAAATTTTAAACTTCTGGAAACAGTAGTTATCATTTTATCAGGATTTATCTATTAATAACATTTTTTCAGCTTTATAAATGGAGCAATTTATCGAAGGGTTAGAAGAGTAAATAATATTGTTTATTATAATTTTGATATGCGCAACAAATAAAGCAGTAACTCATTTTTTCTCACTTTTCAGAATATCTATAATACAAATTACTCTCCGATTACACGCTATATGTTAATCAATTTTTTTAGTAGTTTAATTCAGATTCAATCCAAATTGCCGATATTTTGATGATTGTTATTATAAAAAGATAATAGATTTTTTTGAGTTATTGCCTTGTTCATTGCGTCTAGAGATTTAATGTATATAAATATTTGCTTATGTGTTTTTATTATTTTTTTTTTATGTGAACAGTGTATATTATACTCAAGTGATTGCCTAAGAGATGATACTATGATCAACATGATTAGTCTGTAAAAAACTGACACTCCCAATCATTATATTTTTAAACAAAATCATTTAAATTTCATTTAAGTACATATTTTTATAACTCACGTAAACAACAGTGTAATGTCAAAAAATGTACGTCTTAATAAATATTAAATGATTACCAACATCAACCGGTTTTGTGAATTGGCACTAATAAAACGCCTTTAAATGTTCCATACTTATGTATTTAAAAAAACTAGATTTTTACCAAAGAATGAACAAATACGATCATAAAAAGGTTGATATTCAAAATAGTTAAAATGATTTCCCTTTTTGTTAGGCGTGCCCTTATAGTATATCCGTAAATCTATCCGAATGAAAAAATCGGATTTGAAAATAAATAATATTTGAGTGGGGAAAGTTTGACATATTAATTTTCCTCAATCTATAGAATTATAAAATATTGTTATATATTTTTTTTTGACATAGTACAACTCATAGAGTTACATGTTACATTAGTTAAGTGAATGTCACCACAATCGATGTGTCGTACATTGTATATATATATATATATATATACACAGAGAATTTACCCTCACAGCTTATTTTCCAAACGAATGACTAAATAAGTTTTCCCGATACACAACTCATTCTCATTTCCTGGCTGTCAGTTATGATTAGTGAAATCACATGCTGCTCTGTATCGATCTATATGTATTTTTCCAAAATACTCAAATTATATGCTACAAACATGAGTGACACCCCCAGTTTACATTGCTTAAGGTCAAAATTATATTTTTATTATATGATCAATTCAATTTTTGTATACTATACCACAATTTCTTCGGTTAACTGAGCTCAATAGAAATAACAAGTACTCACCTCATTTTTGGTAGTTCACAGTACACCCATTCAGACGCGTCTTCCACTGTTATGTGTCTACAGTCTGGCGCCAAGTCTAACTTGTTGCCAGCAATCACGATTGGCAGTGTTTGATAATCTTCCCGTTGCTCGCGTACTTCCTCAAAGTTTTGTTTGATAATTTCAAATGATTGTTCGCATGCAATCGAGTACACAAACAAGAAAGCGTGTGCTGTTGCGATGCTAAGCCGTCTCATGGCTGGAAATTGTTGGTCTCCACATGTGTCTAAGATGTCCACCTGTTCGAAAATATATAATATCGCCTTTAGTAATGCTATAATCCAATAAAGAATATAAGACACATTGGTCGCGAAAACAACGTAGACAATAAATAACCCAAAATAAAGAAATAGCCTTTTTCCTAATCTTGATACATGCCAAACTTGTTTAGTCAGCTTAAAAATGACAGTTAGGTGTACCTCGATATATATTCACTGTTAAATACGATTTTTCTCTAAACTTGCGATTTATTTTGAGATAAATAAATAAAACTGGGAAGACTTAATGCGGGATTGTTTCTTTGTTTTTGTGAAGTAAGAAATTAGGGACTAGAGATAGACTGGCCTACTGTGCTGCTATCATTGATAGTATGTAGTGATTATTTGATACCAATAGTATATGTATCATATTTGCATTTAGAGCACAATGCACTGCTAGAAATTGAAGTAAATGAATGATAATTGCAATTAAAAATATACGAAATGGTATAATCGTACTAGTCTAAGCACAGTTGATTTGTACGCCGAAAAAAAAATCATATTTTTAAAGTCTACAATACTTGCTCTACAATATCTATGTATCTATATTTGGGTAAAATAATGTAATTTTTAGTACTGCGCTTTTTAATTACCAAAACTACTATAAAAGTACTCTATTTGATTAAAACAATAAAATTAACAAAAAATTAATTCAAAAAAATTGTTTAACTTATTGAAAAAACTGTTAATGAAAGATCTTTTTTTAATTAAAATAATATTGAAATTTTATATTTTGTCTAAGCAACACATTAGAATTTAATTTTCGTAAATATTTTAATATTTTCAGTACATTTTAAAATAAGACTTATGAACGCACAAAATTTGCTTTCAAATAATTATGGGGTGCTTGCACCCCAAATTTCGTCATGTTTGTCGCATTATTATTAATTTATAAACTTATTTCATAGTTAATTTTAGCATAGACGCAAAGTTAGAAAGTGTTAATGTTTTTTTTTTAATTTTCACTGACCAATTTTCTTTATCTATGCTTTAAAAGAACTCACAAACTTGGTCACCAAAAATTGAAAAAAACTATTCTGAGTTTTATATTTAGAAATATATCTTTTAATAAGACTCTTGTCAAATATGACAGATTTTTAATTATATTTTAAAACTACTATAATTTTATTGGAAGTTACCGATTTAAACATATTTTAAATAGTGATAAAAGTCTCCTTTTTGATATGTTTTTTATAAAAACCTATTTATAAATAGAAGTACAAAAATGTTTGAATGAGGTTACCCATGAAAACAAGTTTTTTTCATTCCAATTTATGTATTTGTTCTGGAGTTCCTAACAAATTTTGACCTACACACAAAATATTTTTTTTGAATTGTAATGATAAAAAAAAACTATTTTGTCTATTTTACAATAATAAATTGAGCACGAAATTAAAAAATGTAAATTTTTTTTTCTTGTCTTTCTTTAAACGCAATCGCATCGAAGTGATTTATGTAGTGATGCTAACAACTGCCAAATATCAATCCGTATTAGAGTTCTCTATGCAGGATATCCATTAGCTGGCTTTCGATTGTATTTAGATTTATAATTTAGAAATAATAAAAAAGGTTCAGTGTTTTGGTTGATTATTGCCTAGCATAGTGCGTTGAATCGTTCGCAATTCGTCACTGTTAAACTCTTTAAGTATAAAGATACTCTCCGTACAGTCTGAAATTAATGAAATATAATAAAATCGATTATAATAATGAAAAATCTATTAATGATTTAACATAAGTTGGTATCAACGCACTCAAATGTTTTGGTTCGTAGTCACCTAAAAAACTATATTTTTCTTCATTATAAAATACTTTCAGCAAAATTTACTTTAATATAAAGTAATGTAAATGATCTAGGATTACTTTAATGATAGAAATAGGATACAGTTTTATACGATTAATGACGTTATTTTACTGTCATAAATTTCTTGTAGTTAATCTTTTATAGGTAATAATCAATTTTACATCGATCTGACCAGTAAAAATTATAACCAAATATGCTTTGAAGTACAACTAATTTAGTTAAAGGATTAGTAGGGTTGACTATCTAAAAGGTCTGGTGGATTTCACATCTCAGCAGTCGTATATTAAATAGGAATGCTCGAGATGATCAAAATAACAATGGAGGCTTTGTCTAACGTGTACACTTTCTAGAATTTAAACTGAAATTGTCTCTTCTAGTATTAGTAGGTATCATCATAATTAATAACACGCAAAGTGTAATACACGGAGCGCTACGAAAGGATGGCAGACTATGGCATTAAAAAAGGTAGTCTTAAGTTTTAGATGTAAGAATATGAAAACGTGACCCATTAAATACCAAGCTAAACGAAATTGGTTTCGACCTATTTTAAAACTAATTAATGAATTTTTTCAGCTAAAAATAAAAGGATTAATTTCATTATAAATTAATGAATTACATACATTATATTCGAAAAAATAACACTGGATCAGAATACAATACTATAAGTTTTACAAATTTTCAACTATATACAGTTTTTTTTATGTTGAAAGAAACTTTAAAGATAACGACAAATTTTTTTTTAGTATTAATTCATTAATTTAAATAGCATAACAGTATAATTAAGTAAATCTTACTATGATAAATTTACTTAAAGCCTAATCATAATCCTTACTAAATAATGGCCTACTCGGTGAAAAATTTGTTCATAAGCAAAATAATTAATGTGATCTACTAAGTACCGCACAATTATCCTAATGAAATAGTTATTTTTCCATTGTTAATCATTATGGTTTAATTAATGGTAATAATATCATGCGTATTATGATTCCATTATTACACTAAGTAATTTGTACTCATAAAAGCTTAAAAGGTTCCATTTCTTAAAGGATTACAACCAGCATCAAAACAAAATTCTAGTTTTTACATTTTTGTAGTTACATTTTTATCGTTATTGTAGAGTGATTTAGTGAAATATCTGTAGTATGAAACTAACGTGGTAACATAATTAGACACTTATAAATTATGTGTATAATTTTTGACTTCTATAGTTTTATCTAATAATTTATTTAAATGAAAAATTGTTTAAAACATACCAAGCGTTAAATAAATTATAAACTTAAAAAAATATTAAGAGAACTTAACCCACGAAAGTCTTTAAATGGAATGTCATGTAATAACATAACAAATTAAAATTTAAGATTCAATTTTAAAAACTATTAATATTTATAATTAATATATTTTTAAATTATATTTTATATTTAAAAAAATATCATTAATAATATTAATTTAAAATATAAAATTTGTCACAAAATAATAATTAATTATGTAATAATATCATTTTTTATATCGAGAAACGATAAAATGTCGTACTATGGTAATACAATTTATTCGTAAGACTTTTTCATTCCAATAATACATTGATTACGTAGATATTTCCCTTCTCTGTATCTCCTTAAGTAATGAATATTTTTTTAGATATTTCTCTATATAATTATAAAATGTAAATAAATCAACTAACTTATCGAAAAAAATTTTTTTTAGCTTCGATGAGAAGCTGAGAAGGTATCAATTTTACTATGATGTATTTTTTTTTTTTGTGACTGTTATGATATATTCTCAGCTCTAACTGGATCAAATTTGATGTACAATACGTCATAATATCACAAATCATATATAATCAAAGACAATACCTTCAAAAATTGAAAAAAAATCCTTCGTTCCCTGTAAATGGGACATGTCCTCCAAAAAAATACAACTTTAAAAATTGGTAAATTTTGACATTTTTTAAACTTATTTATTTAAAAGTTTTTGAATCTACCCACAAAGGGCAATAATAATAAATTTTCAACAAAAAATTAACTTTTACAACTGAACTATTGAAATTTTTTCGAAAATACACATTTATACGTATCTTAAATTAAAGCATATGTAATATATTACATATGCTATAGTATAGTACTAAAAAAATTTTCGTTTTTTAATGTGTCTTTATGATGAAAAGAGCTACCGTATTCAAAAATATACTATTTTTGTGTTAAAATTTTTTATATGTTTAGCTTTATATTTCTCTAACTTTTTGAATTATGCATGAATCAATAAAATTTTTTTAAATATTTTACATACATACTTCTTTCCGACCTATTTTTATTTAAATCGGTTCTCTTCTATTTATACAGGTGGTTTAAAACTTAAAACACGTGTATAGAGACTAGAATTTTTTCAATTGAAATATTGAAAGTGTTCCGGAAATACTAACACTTTTAGATATCTTGAATTAATGCTTATGTAATATACTCTAATATGTTTTCGTGGTGAAAATGGTTACTGTTTTCAATAATATGTTATTTTGTGTTAAAATTAACGGTTTTGTATTTTATTTTATTTTAAAATATTTTAATATAGTATTTTTTCTATACATGTTTGTCATAAAAATAACAAAATATACTATACCATTATTTTATTATTTTTTCGTAAAAATTACAATATTGAATTATTGAACATCAATTTCATACAATATTTAATTGCTATACATATTTATCCATAAATTATACTTTTAAATCTAAGAAATACTAATCAGGTTATCATTAAGGAAATAGAAGTTGATGTTTCTTTTGTAAATATCTACCAATTTCTTAGAATTAAACACTATCTACAGATTTGCATCAAAGCGTTTCTTTTGATAGTGATTTTAATCACTATCAGATATTGTCTATACTTGTAGCAACTATGCCATGTCCATACTTTGCCGCGACCCTACTGTACTTTCGTTTTTTAAAATTTGTGTTAAAACCTTATTATTTTAGAGTGACGAAATGTTAAATAAAATAGTAGTAATCGCTTGAAGAGTACTATTGTAGTAAATTAACTTTGATCAAATTTTTTGAACTCTAATAATTCTCGTAAGAGAAATTAAAAACTCAAAATTAATGCTAAATTCACAGCTAGTAAATTGATATGTTGTTTTTGTTTTCTTAAAGTATCCACAAATAATTAATGTTTTTGATATTACTATTATTAGTGTACAGAGTATTGAACAGAATCCATTACTCTAACGCAACGTTAAATTTTAGAAGTGATTGCTAATTTAAGTGCAATTCTAATTCTTTTGAAAACTTATTTAGTAGTCCATAAGTTATTTATATCATAACAAGGTGTCGAATTAAGCTTTAAACAATTGAACAACTTTCAAAATTGTTTATTTTACTTACTTTTATTGTAGTTGAACCGACGTTAAATTCTTTACTGTAGAGATCTTCTACGGTTGTTCGATACTTGGGACAAAACGAATTAAACAAAAATTGTTTGCAAATGGCACTTTTTCCTACGCCAGCGCCGCCGAGCACAACTAATCGTATTCTTTCTTGGTCGACCATGTCTATTGGCTGTCGATCTTATATGGATTATTTCATAACTCAACATTCATATACGGTTCTGTAAATATACAAAAAAAAAACATTAAATTTTAAATACGCAGCGTGATATTAAGTGACATATCATACTGTAGTTTATTTTTCGCTTTTATCAGCCCATTAAGGGCTATCGCGGTCTCCCCTAAAGAAGGAAGTTTCTTAACCATTTATACTCCGAAACGGGTGGTTAGTCCGTCGCCGGAATATCATACTGTAATAAATTCAAAAAAGTTTAAAATTTAATGTCTCCATAAAATTATCAAAATCAACGTTAACGGGTATTTATTTCCTATAAATTTCATAAATTTATTATTTTATTTAATCAATTACCCAATAGTTTAATAGTGTATAAATACTATCGGGACAGTAATTATACACAGATTTTTTTATCCCTTCGTGGTTAAAAAACATTAACTTGAATTTTCTTAAACAGTAAAATAATAATAGAAATTTAGTCCAAAATCATTTATCTTTAACAAGCTGTAACAGATTGGAAAAAAAAATTATAAGAGCAAAATTGTTGGTATTTTTATTTGAAATCATAATAACAAATTCAAAATAGGGATTCCCATTTGAGAAAATTAAAGATAATGTTTTTTACCCTTGAAGGGATGACAAAAATGATGTTTTTACTATTTATTATTGTAGATTTTTTAAACTAAACAATATTTTCCTTACCAAAAATTTAAAATTTTCAATAGTTATGGAAAAAAATAGTGTCTTATTCTTAATGAATCACTCTATATATGTATACTTTTTTATATATTACTTTATAGTCATTTTGGGTTTTTTATATCTGATTTCATACCTAAAATAATCTTACTTGTTTATCCCATTTATGCTTGCAATTATAAGTAGTATCAAATAGTTATTATAAAATTATTCTAAGATTAATTCTTATAAGAAATTCATTCATATAATAATATGATATGATTCAAGGGCTGTTATTCTAAAAATATAATATGGTATAAACGTTTATTTTTATTTTTGTATTTCATTAAGCATGTAAAAAATACAAACTTAATTCAGTAAACAAATAAATTATGTTGGTAAGACTTTTAAAAAAATCATCTATCTTAATTATTTTTAATTACTTGGTAGTATAATAATTTTTAGATGTAAAACTTAACTCGTAGTTTTTTTTTAAATATAGGGTATTTAAAGTTCAAATAAGTACTTATCATAATTTACGTCAACAACTTATAACAAATAAGTTACCAATTTATCAACTATATAAAATGATTATTATAGGAAATAATTTTATGAATTGTATATTACTCATATTCAAGCAATTATTATAATAATCAGTTTTCTTTTACTTAGTTACATAGTCAAGGTTTTGTTATTTCCTTTTTACAGCTAGACTATAATCATAAATATTGTTTGTATATATCTAAGTTGAACAATACTTTAATAATTAAAGTATTGTTAGAAATTATTTCTATAAAGAGTTTACATATTTTTTGACATATTTTACTGGTTTAATTAAAAACAATAAAAATTATTGAATAATAGCTTATTGTAAAATTTAAAAAACCATAACATAAAACTAGTATTTTATTTTTAGTTATTTTTATGTTGACATTTTATATAGAGTATTCAGTAAGTAAAGAAACGTGTTTCTATTATTCTCATTGTTTGTAACAAATTAACCTGTTTTCTTCCTTACTGAACATTATGTATACGTTCACCACGTGTATTCAATATTAAAACCACATGATCAAAGAAACTTATTACTAAATATTTGTGTCTTTCATGTATATTCTTGTTGATATTGTTGACAATTTACTTTGCTATATGTCAAACTTCCACTAATATTATAAAACAATTATACCGAAGAAATGACCTTCTCTGTAGTAATTTTCAAGTAGCTCAAACTGATGATGGGTTCATAAGAAAATTTCTTAACAATTTAAAATAAGTTATCAAAAAGTTAAGCAAATTTTACAAATACTTAATTTTAGACTTACAATTTATTAGTTACTTTTGTAAATGATCAAATTACGTTGTATATATTGTAACACTGTTATAATTTAGCTTTTCCATTTAAGATTTAAATTTGAGAATGTATATATTTTTTACTTGTCATAATTAAAAAAACCTTTTTTTTCTTTACCAAGTTTACTTTTGTTTAATAATGTTCACATTTATAAGTTATATGATAATTTTAAGTTGATCAATTTGCTGTCAAATACATATTGTATTTTTTGGGCTATTGCCTGTAAAGTTAATAATAAATTAATAAATAATATGCATAAATGAAAATTATTAGAAAAGTTATATCTTTTTAGTTAAAATATAAGATAATTTTATTTCCAAAATTCAACAGTTCTATGCTAAAAAAATCATTTATCATGAGCAGTACAACTAACTATTTAACTGTCATTTTAAAATGTTGCGGACTTGGTTTTTGATAGTAATTACATTATTATTAATAAGTGATACATTGTATATGACACGGTACCGTGATTCTTTCAGCCGCACATCACGTTATCAACCTAAATGAAAGTGTACGGGGTTTGAATAATAAGTGCACAGTGGCCTAGTGGTAAGGTTAGTCTGTACGACGCCTTGGGTCGCGGGTTCTAATCCCATTCCGTGCCTCTTTTTTTCATATGATCTCCGGTACACTTTCTATAACCGGTCGACAATACCCGGCGGCCGCGTTATATATTATATTATTAAATTCTATGTGATTAATATATAATTTTTTATTTTTTATGTAAGTATTAACATTTTTTTTTTTTTTCATAATAATCCTATAAAGAGGTTTATGTATGTGATTGTAATATGTATTTTAAGATTAGTGTTTGTACGGAAAAAATATAAATGATTATCTGAATTTTTGAAAATACTGGTTTATAGCATTTTAAGTTGTTTTCGTATGATTTCGTGTTTAATAAAGTTTTTAAATTTATTGAACTTTTTTTATCCCTAAATATTAGGGATATTAGGGCTACAATCTTAAATACTAATAATAAGTTGGTCAACTTTTTTTTATCAATAAAATGTTTAATAAAATAATTTAATTATTTATAAACAACATTTCTATAAGTAATAAATTTGTTGAATGCTTTCATACAGATTTTATTTCAGTAAGCTTTTGTACAATCAATTATAATTAATTATAGATATTATCATAATTCTTAAATTAAAATTTTTTATGAAATATTTTTATTTTCGTTAAAATAAGTTTTTATTACAAGTCTTTAACAATAATTTTTTTTAATTTTAAAATGCTACAAAAACGGTACTATGAAACTATTTTCAGTCTCTTCAATCAGCGAATCAATTTTTAACCCAAGAAACTTTAAATAATCATTTGTTATTTTAATTTGATCTTTGAATTCGGTCTTCATTTGATTTTCATTTTTAGTTTGAAAAACATTAATACAGTTCATCCATCCTATATCATTGCTTTCGGAAATCATCTTTCTTAACCAATCCCTGGTATAGATGACACCCTCGCAATTGTGTGCTTGTTTCATTGATTTTAATTTTATTAGAAAATAGAGAAATTTATTCTTATGGGGTTCATTAATCGATTTTTCTTTGAAAAGTAAACCTATATTAGTCATAACATTAATCATGTTACTCACAAGTTGCTTGAATTCAAGAATTTTTTCATTTAGTAAACAAAATTCATACTCGTCATTATTTTGAATATTGCTAGCACGTGTTTTTATCATCAGTTTAAATTTATCTAAGCAAAGTTTATTATAATTAATCTCAAAGCCGGTTTTTCTTTCAATCAATTCGTTCGTGATGAAAAACATAAGCCGGGCATAATATTTTATTACTTCAATGTACTTACACAATATCATGGCGTAAATAATATTTAATTTCCATTCATAGTTAGACTCGTTAACTGCAAGATATTTTGGTGAAAGATATTCATCCGGTATCTTTTGTTGTGACAAATCAAACTTTTTATAGTCAATATTATTGTATAGATGATAGACGCTTTGTACTGTATCGTTTATTTTAACATTAATGTTAAAAAAGTTTGACCATGTTTCATGCGTCAAAATTTCATTAAGACGGTGGATATTATGTTCGGTAATATGTGATAGAGAATGACATAGTACAAACATCAGTAAAGTCACGTATATTTTAATCAATTTTTTTAAATTCATTTTAATAACCAATTGATTAATATTGAAGTTAATAACGTTAATTTTCAAATATTTTATGAATTAAATATAAATTTTATTGTGGTACATACTTATTTCCAACAAGAATGATCGTTGCCATATTTAACACAAAGTTTTTTTCACAAAAAAAAAAAGTAAAATATGCATTTTGTATTTTATTATGACTTAATATTAGACTAAAATAGTCGCTTTGTTAAAAATATATTATATATTATGTTTACACAATTTTTTCAATAAAAGTATATATGAATTTGTAACGATTTGTGTACTTTTTACAACATTTTAATATCAATAAATCATTGTTATTCTAGCATGATAAAGTTAATAGTGATGTATATCTTAAAATAGCAATAATAAAACTTGTCTATAAAATTATTAAGCCTGTAAGTTGAGTTCTAATTTTTAATATTATTACCTTTTAGAAATGCATTAGTAAAAAAATCATTTTAATAAAAAGTAAACTTTTTAAAAAATTTTAATATTAAATTTTTTTTTTAATTTGACTAATTTTTAATATATTGACAATTGTAAACCACTATTTAAAAAAAATATATTGCACATTCTGTAAAGACACTATCATAATTCTTAAATTTAAAACTTTTAATAAATTAAATTAATAATAGTTAAATAACTTCATAGCCACTATGTTAAATATATATTATACAATATGTTCATTTAATTTATTCGATACAATTATAAATGGATTAATAACATGTATTTATACTTTTTGAAAATACTTTATATATTTTTGTGTACTTTTTGCGACAAATTTAGATTATTATTGAAAAACTATATATATTGTAGACTTAGCTAATCAATTGGGATACTTACATATTAATATAAATTATATTATGTCCATAAATTCCATAAACTTAATGAATTTATAATATGTATTGTTAAAAACTATAAAAATTATTAAATGTTTATAATAGACAAGAACTATTTGAAATACTCGGTTAAACTATTTAAAATAAATTTTACGATTTATTCAAACTTTATTGTATTTATTATTTAATTATAAAAAAAGTGAAACCAAATAAAGTAACACGCTGATACGTTTAATACAAAAAAACTGAGAGCCCCTCACTTTTTTGGAAGCCTCAGCCCCCTTATCTCGAATGCGTTCCAAAGCCATCCCTAAATAAGGGATGTTAACAAAAAATTGATATATCGTGTAAAGTAGTTAATAAAAAACTAGGTTTGTTAAATAAAATGATTAAATCTAAAATTTTTGAAGATATTTATGAAGCGTAGTTAAGGAATTGCTCTATCTAACAGCAGCATGGATTATAAATACCAGTATTTTTAATTCATGGTAGTAGTAAAATAAAAACAGAAAATAATTGAATTCCTGGATTCATTTGTATTTATTTGAAACAATAATCTATTCATCGTTTGCGTAAGTAGTGTTCTTAAGGTCATTACATGATAATAACACTGAGTATATAGTTATTTCTGTTTTTTAACTATAAATGCAAAATTAATCGTTGAATGATTACTCATACGTAAAAACACAATTGACTGAATAGTATGTTTAAAAAAAACTTGTACCATATAGATTGCTAATACAGTAATAATTTATGATAAAAGTCTCAAATAATTTAATTGTTATTTTTTTACTTTAATTCGTAGAAAATAATATTAAATTTAATATAATATTAATTAAGTTATCATAATGGTTTATTTTTTCAGTATTATTCTAATAATTAAATTTTTATTTGGTAATTTTTAATCGATAATTTTTTTAAACTTAATAAGTGTTCAAATGAGTATCACTAGTTTACTTTTAAATTCACTTAACTAAGTTATTTATTTTAATTACAGATCAATCAGAAAGTCATCCAATAGTAGAGGATATTGGAGTCCATTATTTAATATTTAAAAACAAGTAGGTAACTTTTAAATTTCAATGGTGTTCGGATAATGATATATTAAGTAAAACATGGGTTTTTCGATTTTTGAAAATAAAAAGGCTAAAATAAATGTTCATCACTCGAAAAATATATAAATACTAATATTTTATAAATTATAGTATTATAAATACTAGTCATCTTATTCCTCGAGTTTTATGTTGATAGTTAAATTCTTCTCAAATAGAATTAAGTTTGAAAAAAAATTACTTTATAAATAATAGTTACTGTTATGTTTAAATATATGAATGCTATTTGATCACTTTAAGTGACCATTTTAATATAAAAAAATTACAGTTCAAAATTTATTTTCAGCAAGTTAATTTTATCCCAATTTAGATTTTAAGTGTAATTTTTTACTTTATTATTATATGTTACAATCCAATTAAAAACTAATGTCCTAATCTATTTACTATTTATTATCTTTTTTGATTCAAAACAGTAGAGGTCAAATGATTTTGCATTGGAAGGGGATGAAAACCGTTATGATGAAAATCATCATAAGAGCTGTGCCCTCATGCCACAAAGTTTTTAATTTGTATTACTGTATCAAAATGATATAATGAAATATTAGTTATGCGTAAATGCTTTTCTTCTTATTAAATCTTTAAACATTTTATTTGTTTTATAATGGTACCTCGTTGAATTTACCTACGTATAATAATAATCAAGACTTAAAATTAATAATTTATTTATATTAATTACGCTCAATAAATTATAATACATAAAGTTCCAGAATATAAAATATATATAATGAAAGTTGTACGAAAATGTCAAAAAGGGTGTGTCAATGTGGTATCTATTCCTTAATCCTCTTTTATTTGACTGCCGCTTGTTTAAAATTATGTATAATATCATTTTACAGTTTACTATCGTTTGATGCAAATGATGCTAGTTGTTTGTCAAATAAGCCAGTGATTATTTTTGTTCATGGTTTTAGATCAAGTCCTGAAACTTGGCGATTTGCAGATATATATAATGGTAATAATCACGTTACATTATAACTATATCAAAGTTAATTTAAAGTCATACAAAATATTTTATGTGGGAATATTTTCATACTTTTAAACTTTAATTCAATACAGTTATAGAAACCATAAGAATGAATTATTTCGATTTACTTTTACAAATAAATTTTAATATTTTTTTTAGTATTATTAAACAAAATGGATGTAAATGTAATTTTGGTAGATTGGTCTGATGTTTGGTCAAAAAAATTAAGTTACAAATATGCTGTTAGTCAATCCCATGACTTGATCGATTTATTAGCAAATTTCATAAATGTATTGGGTCCACATGGCATACTTAAGAACTTAAATGATGTTACATTAGTTGGTCATAGTTTGGGTGCCCACGTGGTAGGCAATGTGGGACGGAAATTAAATGGAGAAGTGAAAAGGATTATAGGTATGTATCAAATATTTTATATCATAAAAATACCATGGATATAAAAAATTATTAATAGAGTAACTGGGGTAAAAGTCAATACGGAGAAAGAATCCAATATTGAAATAGTTAATTTAATTTTAAGTTCTGAACCAATGGTTGATGAATTTCAAATCTTAGATCATTTTATATGTTATTTTAATCGTTACAAAATCATAGTGATAAAATTAAATACAACATACACATTATAAAAATCGGTAACACAGTGAGATCGCAACTCACTGGGGACGCAGCATTGTTAGGAGGACAAGTATAGATGATATCTGACAATGATTAAAATGACTATCCTAAGAAACGCTTTGATGCAAATCTGTACATAGTGTATATTCTCAAAATTCGCGGACTCCTCCAAAAATAACATCAACTACTATTTCCTTGATTATATCCTTATTAGTAATTCTTTAATTTATAAATTTAATATATAAATAAATACTTAGTAATTTATAGTCTTAATTATAGTAAATAATCTTAGTATGAAGTTGAAATTCAATCATTCATTTAATATTACAAATTTTATGGAGAAATTATAAAAAAAAACACAGTGGGGTCGTGGCATCGTTGGGTCCAGTATAGATGATATCTGACAGTGATTAAAATCACTATCATAAAAAACACTTCGATGCAAATTTGTAGATAGTGTTTAATTTAAAAAAAAAAATTTGTTAAAGTACATATTTTTGGATACGTTAACCATTTAAAAAAAATTTGAAACTTTAAATGTTTATATANAAAATGTTGAAACTTTAAATGTTTATATCTTATTAGCTAATAAAGTTATATTAAAAATTCAAATGCCAATTACTATTAAATTAAAAACTCAAACATTTTATTAAATTAAAAATATGTGTTACCATTAAAAAAAACAAAGTTGACCCCTCTCCAAGACATAAGGGATGAACTTAAAAAGTATTACATAGTTAAAAATTCAAGAATAATGTGTAACTAAAGATAATAAAAAAAAAAAAATGTTTAAATTATTATTATTCTGCAAGTAATTGAGTGGGTTATGATAAAAAAATCACCCTGTATACATTTTTCAAAAAGTTATAGCATTTTTAAGTTAAAATTTAAAATCAAAAATCGAAAATTTTAACACAAAAATAGTGTTTTTTTAACTACGGCAGCCGTTTAAATGTAGAAAAAAAAGTGTCGGGACAAATTTTTTTTTTTCATTCTATAGTACATAAAAAAAGCTTTAATTTGATATATGTTTGAAGAACGCAGTATTTCCGGAACATTTTTAAAAATTAAGTTGAAAAAGTTAATTTTTGTAAAAAAGTTGCTATTTTAAATCCCCCCCAATGAGCAGGTTAAGTGATAAATTTTCAAAAAAATGATATCAAATAAAAATTAAATATCTAAGATTTTAGTATAAAAAAAAATTAGGTTAATTTGTTGATTTTTCAAAAAGTTATGGAAGTTTTAAAAAAAAAAAGTGAAAAAATTTCGAAAATTAGCGATTTTTAAATTTGTAATTTTTTTTGATATTTCCCCCAATTTGCGGGGAACGAAGGAATTTTTTTCAATTTTTAAGGGTAATGTCTTCAACTAGATACGATTTGTGATCTTTTGACGTACTTTTGAAAGAAATCGGTACAGTGAGAGCTGAGAAAAAGTGGCAACAGACATAAAAAAAAAAAAAAAACATCATAGTAAAATTAATACCTTCTCCGCTTCGCATCGAAGCTAAAATATTCGAAAATTAGCGATTTTTAAATTTGTAATTTTTTTGGATATTTCCCCCATTTGCGGGGAACGAGGGAATTTTTTTCAATTTTTAAGGGTAATGTCTTCAACTAGATACGATTTGTGATCTTTTGACGTATTTTTGAAAGAAATCGGTCCAGTGAGAGCTGAGAAAAAGTAGTAATAGACAAAAAAAAAAAAAAAAAAAAACACATCATAGTAAAATTAATACCTTCTCCGCTTCGCATCGAAGCTAATATAAAGTAAAGATTTTTTTTTTTATTAAATATAGAATGCTTTAATTAACCATTATTGAGTATGTAGTAAATATCTGAGGAAGTATGAAACAACGTCAATATTAGTATAATATAAGTTTCAAAATTAGATTAAGAAAAATAATGGGAAATTTAAATCATAAGTAGAGTTAAAATATTGGGATATAAATAATATTATTATTATTACTTTATTTCTTTTTTTTGGCGAAAAAATTAAGTCTGGTACAAAACACAAACTGATTCTCATTTTATTGAAAAAAAAAAATGGAAAGATCCTACGCTGCTAAATACCACAAAAAAAGACATCCTTAAGAGGTACGATTTGAAAAAAAAAACTTTATTACATGGATATCCTAGACACATAGAAAAGTTAATTATACAAAAATATGAGGACATATTTTTTTTTTGTAACATAGAGGCATGTAGTAAATAGCTGAGGAAGTATTAAATAACGTCAATATTATTATAATATAAGTTTTTCCTCAGTAGTAAGCAATTTTTAAATTTTTAAGCAATACAATAATGTTCATAAAAAGGGAAAGTGCAGGGTAAGCAAATTAATAATGGTGGGAAAAAGAATATATAAGGAGAAACATGAAAAGTATAGGGGGATTAACGTTTTGACGAAGAAACTTCGAATTACGAGTCAGGAAGTTTGGGCAAGTAACTCTGTATTTTGTACGACTCAATTTATTTTGTGTTACATTTTTATATTATATTTTTGACTTTGTGTTTTTACGTTTCGTAAATAAAGCAACTATTTAAAAACCTGCACTTGTGTGGAAATACTTTATATTCACCGTGTTGTTAAAATTGTGTGTGAGTATGTGCGGGAAAAGTCGAGGTTGCACCGCTGGTCCTTTAGTCGATCTTAATAATTAGTGTGTGTGCTGACTAGTTTTTGAGCTTAACCGTCCTTTAGTAGGTATAGTCAAAAGGTAGCTGTGCTGGTGGCTTACGAGAAGCCACCCTTCAGTCTGCTACTTTTGAGCTAGACCGTGCTGACGGGTCTAAACTCTACCCTTTTAGTAGTTCACTAATTGGAGAGATTGGGGCTAACCATTGTATCCAACGAGAGGACTCGAGAAGAGCTAAAAACGACCAACTCGTCGTCAAAAACATTAATTGATTTACCTTTTGTATCTACGACGGGGTAATACCGACGTACGACAAGTAATAACATAGTTTTATTTTCACACACAATTTTTGTCATGTAATTTAATGACAAATTCTGTTAACAGTATTAAAATAAATAATTTCAATATTAGCCATTACTCTTAAAATAATAATTTTATTAAGAACCTTCTTCTTTAATAGTATCGTGGTAACTAAATGATAAGCAGCTTAATATTTCTCTGTGTCACAATTTTTGAAGTAATATTTTGATACGATAGTTAAGTTTAGTTTAATTATATTTTGTGTTTCCAGTAAAAGATGTACGAATAATGTGTTAAATGATTAATTTAATGACCTAATTCTAATAAAACTTAAGTGGGTGTACTTTGTTGAATATTTTCATGGATAACGCGAAATGGGCGTAAACCATAACGTCAAACTTAAAATAGGTTCTAATACTTTAATTCGTTTTGGAGTTCATGTCATTTGTTTTTGAAGAATACAAATTGAATATTTTAATACTACAAAAAAGAAAAATAAATTTAAGTAAACATGCCTACATACATTTAAATAAGCACTGATTTGAGCATTTCGATACATTGCAAATCATGACAACAAAGTTTCAACTTTCTTACATACAAATCATTATATGAAAGAGAATTTTATGTATATATAATTGTATTTACCAAGTTTTGACCAAGCATAATATGCTTGGAAAAACTTATTATATTAATTAGACCCTTCACTTATTTGAAAATTTCTTTATTTTAAGAATTTTTAAATTAGTCATTTAACAAATTACTTGATAATTTGGCCTATTATAGCATATTATGATAAATAAGCATAATATGCTGTTAGAAATCGATTGAAAAAAATTGACCACAAAGAAAGTTTGACTAATTCATTTCTAATGATATTCGTGGTAAATTGATAATAATAATAGTTTATTGAAATAAATTAAATATGTACCTAATAATAGTACATAATACATATTTATTATGTAAATAAAATAGCATTATGAAACAATTGTAATTATGATATATATTATTTATTAATATAATTACTTCATAAAAAAAATATAAACATTTGCTAATATACTCGTGTCTATAGCAGAAGTACAATTATTTTTTTTACATTCAAATTAAGCTTATTTATTTTATATTTTGTACATAATTCATATTTCATTACATAGGTTGTGTTTTATATGTATTTCGAAACTAAAAATTAAAGAAATTAAGATTTTTTTATAATTATTATAAACTAATACTATTAAAAACAGAGTTTTATGGTTTGATACGAATGAGAAAACATTAATTCTCCATTCATTGACTGAAAACATATGTTGTAACACAAAACAAAAAGTAAAGTGTACGACGATGACGTTTAGTCTGCTGCCTGGGTGATCATACAGCAGTTACAGTGCTCGGCTAACACTCCAAGTTAGCTGTGGGTGTCGAAAGGCCGTTGTTATAGGAAGGGAATAAGGGTAACATCTATAAGGTGCAGACGAAGTGCAAGACACAATTACTCTGAAATGTCGAGGACGAGAGTAGGTAGGTTAAAAAGGAAAAACAAACACTTTACATTAAGCAGTAAGCCGGACAGCGACAACCGAGTACCGGTACTGATGAATGACACAAGGCACTAGAGTCGGACTGATCACTATGGTCAGGACTTTTGGGTTTTTATAATAATTTGGACGATTGTCAAGTTTGCAATGAATATTAATTGTTAATCCATCAGTCTCTAGATGTGCTCTCTTTATTTTATTATGGTAAATTCTCACAATAATGGTAATGTGATACCATCACACACACCATGACAAATTTACTAAAGTAAATTTTTTTAAATAATTTCCATAATCGAATCGTTTAAGTTACTATA